AGAGACCTCGCTGATAGTGTTGGAATATCATTTGGCTCAGCCCAAACCATTTTGAAGGATGTTTTGTGTCTTAAACGCGTCAAGTCTCGATTGATGCCAAAATCGCGGCTCACACTGCATTGGTTCTTCGCGACTTTTTTGCCAAAAACTCGACTCATATCGTTCCGCAACCACCGTATTTGCCTGATTTGGCTCCGTGCGACTTCTGGCTATTCAGTAAACTCAAAAGGCCAATGCGGGGACGCCGTTTTGACACGATTGAGGAGATAAAAACCGAATCGAAGAAGGTCTTGAAGGCTATACCGAAAAAAGACTATTCCGACTGTTTCGAGGACTGGAAAAAGCGTTGCCATAAGTGCATTGTATCTGGGGGGGGATTACTTTGAAGGGGATAAAATTGATTTAGATAAATAAATAAAGAATTTACATTTTATAAACAAATTCACCTTACTTTTTGATCACAGTAGTATATAATATTTAAGTGTTGTGACGCACCTCGCGTTGGATGTTATGGCGGAGGCGCCGCACAACTTCGGCACGTCTTTTCCAAAAAAAACTAAATTTTTTTTACTCATCAAATTCGGTAGTTGGGCGCCAGGCGTGCGTTTACACGCCAACTCAAAAATCTTAATTAGCAGCAAGAATCCCGACAAATAATTTTGACGTGACGGCAAGGTCACTCGGCAGCTCAGTTTATAACAATAACGGAGAGGCGTGAGCTCAGGAGGCAGTGTTTAGTAAATAATGGCAGAGAAACTTGTTCGAGATAACAATTATATTTGTTGAATAATAATTACATTAAATTTTAATAATAACAAACAATGAGTAATGATTCTTGCCGGTCGCCGGCTCGAGTTGGTATCGGCAATACAATAAGAAAACAATATACACGGTAAAAGTTCAAAGGCGAGAAGCGACTATGACCGGCAGCCAATTTATATAATGGAGTTTTCTTTTGTTATAATATTTCGCGACCGTCGGCTACAAGTTTTCGGTAATTTTCAATCTTTCACAATTCAATACTCAGTCAACTACAAGAACATAAAATTCAAGATTCCATAATCACGTACTCTAGGGCTATAACGAACGGACGCAATCGGCACGAAAACAGAATACCAAAAAAAACGAAAACAACACGCACGAATAACGAGCAAAAATAAGCCCGGATTGTTGCAACCACGACTGATCGGGACGAGAGCAGCAGCAAATAAAGAGCGGTAATTATTCTTATCACTGACCGAATCAAACCGCAATACACTATATTTTCGGCAACATATCGCGCGATATCGAACTCGTGGGATATCCCGTCGAGATTCGATTCACAAACAATATAAGTCGCGAGAGGTGCAAAAGAGAACCAACCACACTTACGTATGCCGGCGGTCCTTCACAAATCGGCAGCGGCCACGTGTGTATCGACGCGGGCCCTCTCTGGCTGTATCAGCCCGTTCCGCAGAATTTCCTTCGTAGATGAGCTTACTCGGGCTCATCTCCCTGCATCACGGGGTTGATAACTCCACAGGGAGCCCCGTTCCAGTTTTTGCGGAATCGGATGGCTAGCGTCTTCCTTTTTCTGGTCCGTCATCGACATTATCGACAAGCGCCCTGTGCCTATGAGGCCCTTACGCCCCTGTATCGCTGTCTGTTTCTATTTACTTTCTTTCTCGCTCTTCTCCTGCCGGTCACGTACAGTGTGTTGCTCTCTTCACGCTGAAAATAAGTTACAAAATAGCCGCCGAGCGACCTAGTACAATACGCAAAAATACAAACTCAAACCCAAAGTAAGCGCATTCGCCTGCGCTACGCAATCTAATGAGCTGCTCTCCCTCAAATAGGAGGGAAACGCGAGCTCGCCGCCTCCTGTGCCGGCTGGAAATGCATCCTTGTGACGGACACAAAAAGTGTCACGTCGCAGTGTATGTGTGTTTATGTGAAAAACAAAGAGAGAGAGAGAGAGAGAGAAAAAAAAAGAGCAAGTAAATACATATATAGGTTATTTTATTTTATCAAACATTAGTATATACATTCTCTGATAGGAAAACATTTATAAAATTGTGTGATAAAATCTGGCATAAAAATTGTGATTTGCAATTATATAGATATATTTTGTAAAATAAATGTACAAATTGATCTCTTATAAAATATTTGTAACTGTTTGCAAAATTAATTTTTAAATACTATTTCGGCAAAACAATAACGATATGGCAAATCATCTTAGCAGTATATTTGCAAAATTAAATTTAAAACTAAGTTGTCCAATAATTGAGTCAATAATAAAATGTCAGCTATGATGTTTAAAATATGTAGAAATAATTGCATATGAAGAAATCAAATTAATTTCTGTATATGCTTATAAAAACGCACAATGATTCTTAAATTATAATGTAGAAATATTGCACATTAATTGCAGCAAAATCTTGAATAAAAAATCAAATCAGTTTCTATGAGATGCATGTGAACTGAGCTTTCGATAATGCTTGTCAAGTATTTTAAAATAATTTGTTAATATAATTAGTTAACGTTTTCTGATCATATCTCAATCAGAGTTCCGAGATTGTGAAAAGTAAGATTCTTTATCACTATTACTAATTAAAAAAGTTAAATTAATTTATTAATTAAAATATAAATATTTTATCTAAAAATGATTGCAAATATTGCAAAATGGTTTTGATGCATTACATTGTTACAAATAATTAATTATATAATTTTATGCATTAACGAATTAACATATTATAGAATATTTATACTCTAAATTTTGGACTTTTCTAATTTGTGACAAATATCATTTGCAAAATTGTATTTTGACAAAACTGTTGCATTATGGCAGATTATCTTAATCATTGCAAAATTGTTTGTCAATTTATAATGCCATTTTTGTGCAATATTTTCACAATTTGCCTATTAAGGTTTTGTATACAACTGTCACCCTTGACAGTTTTGCAACAGCGTTGCGCGGGATATTATTGTATCTCTTGATTTTTTCTTTTTTTCTCAAACTCACAGGTCTTTCTTTCTCTCTCTTTTTTTTTTATTGAGAAAAATACATGCCACTACTACAAGCCAATATGGCTTACCAACTAAGGCGCACCACGTATAATTATAATCTAACCTAATAAATTATAAAAGTAAATTTTCTATTTTGCGAGAGGTGTATGTAGAGAGTACATTTCTGAATTATTGACGGATTTCCCTTTCTCTTCTCTTACTATTACTGCGCTTGCATCATCTGTTGTAGAGAAACTAAGAACATGCACATATTGTGATTCGGAGACGAGATTTGAATATGAAAAATTTTTATATTTAGACTTTATTCTTTAAAATCTTTAAATAAAAGACACAAACAAGAAACCCATATGCAAACTTTTTTCTTTATTTTTTCAACCCGAATCGATTGAGACTAAAAGAAGTCCACTATAGTCGTACAAAATCAAAATAATACAAAGTTGCGGAAATTCCACATAATTAAATCATTGAAACATTGCTGTTTTCTCGATAGACACAAGTTTTCTTCCTCTAGCTGTGTGGTACTTTGCCGCAATATTCAGCTCTTAAAATGTCTGACACTTTTGCAGTTAACGATTGAATACAGATGGAAACACTCCTGGAATAGACCAGTAAAAATAAAAATACGAGGGAACACTGGTGCGACAGAGACAAGTTATTAAGTTCCTCTTCTCCATCGCGATTATGTCGACAATACAAGCCAGAAGTAGTGCGGCGACGCTATTAAATGCCGAGGGTTTAATTACGCACCCCGGTCTTACACCAAGGCTTGCACGAAGAAATTAATTAAAGTGAATCTTGAGTCGTTACACAGTATTTACGTCAAGGTACTTAACTTTTTATATGCCGTTGGAGAAGTAATGGAAAGCTCGTTTTGTGCTTATCGCGAGCATCATTTTAGCCGCAGCTAGGATTGCTTGTATCCACATCTACACAGAGAAAATGGATCATCTTATAGGACACGCGGTTTCTTCAACGTTAAAGATAAGTACTTTCTCAACTTGCCGTCGCGTCAAAGTACACGTTTACAGAGCCTCTCCTCGTTAAGCTTTTGGGATAAGTTCTGCTGCGAGCGAGAGAAACGCTCAGGTTCGACCGAGATTCTGATATTCCTTGATGAAGGTCAAATTTGGCAGTTAATCTCGGAACGAAGCTCGAGGATTTATTTAATACGTGCCGCGCACGATATCTTACTTTGATCGGAATTAAAATATACGAGTTTTGTTATCTGCGCGTCTGTTTGATCGCAAAAATGTATAAACATGGATGGTTCTCCTTAGACTTCTCAAAATCAGTAAACATCTTATTCAAGTTTAATTGTACTTTAAAGTTTTACCGTATTATATTATCATACGCTTCAATTATTCCGAATAATAAATGAAATATTACAGAATAGTATGTGTTTGATTTAAGTAAGATTAAAATAACATGCAATATATATTTTTAAAGTGTGTGGCATGGTAGAAAGACAAGGATATGCTCGTACGCAGGTTTTCGACTGCGCATATAAAAAATCTTGTCCAAGATGACATCAAGCAGCTTGTTTAAGCGGTGACTTTATCATAGTTCTCTCTAAAAGCGTTTTGAACTGACATATTATGTGGTCTCGTGACGAATTCTCCACAGAAATATTTAAGAGAAAATGTACAAAAATGGTTTTTTACGTAAATTGATCTGAGCTTTTAAACAAAATGTTATTCCACTCAGAATTGCAAAAAGCTATAAAAAACATGTTTACAATATAAAAAAAGATTTTTCTGCCGTTGCGCAAAATTTCTGATTTTTAAAAATATTTCTTCCCAAAAGTTGCAATTTTTTAACTAAACAGTTGTAATTTTCCAATTAGGATGATCGTAAGTTTTAAAAAATATTGAAAAAAAATCAGAAATTTGGCGTAAAAGGCAGAAAAATCTCTTTTTATATTGTAAACGTGTTTCACAGTTTTCTGCAGTTCTGAGTAAAGTAATATTTTGTGGTAAAATCTGAAATCATTTTATGTAATAAACCATTTTTGCATATTTTTCTCTTAAGTTTCCACATCTTTTCATGTTGCAAGTCATTATTTTGGAGTAGGTATCAAAAAATCAATTTACAACTTTATAATTACAACGAATGATTGTTGGAAATTATTCAAATTAGCGAAAAAAAAAGAAATGAAGCGACCTTGTAGGACACTACATAATACGAAAGCGTATAAATATACATATACATGTGCACGCATACAGACAAACACACATACACACGCAGAATAAAGGATAAAGGAAGTTTAATTGATTCCCCTCAGGGTTATACAATATTTTTTAACACTCCACTTCTATATCCACGATCCATTTGTATCCACGATCTATTCGGAGGCCCGATTCAGTTCGCTTTTCAATTGATAAACTCGAATTGAAAGAGACCGGCCCGGAAAAATCCGACGGTGTAGATTCAAACTCGGGATCTCCCACTCGCAGCCCTCGCACTCAGGCCGTGAGACCACTGGGCCGGTATACACACGCAGAATATTTATTAATATATATGGCGTCCAGAATTTGCATATTGTTCATTATACTTTTTTTGTTAACAACTTTTTAGTAAACAACAAGCGCGGCATAAAACCTTTATAATATTACTTGGGATAATAACTTTGATAACATGTAAAAATTATTGAAATCGAGGGTAACTCCCTTAATCTAAATAATTACTCAATATTAGATGAATTTTGACTCTTGTTATATTTCAAAGCAAAAAAAATCTATTCTTTTGTCTTGCACTATCCCACAAATTTAATATTATAATTATGTCAGAATATATTAATGCGCAAAACCCATAATGCGACTTTTTAATGAATGAATCTGATATTTGATGCTTTCGCGATGTGTATTAACATTCAAAGATGTTTTTTGAGTTTGAACCGTGTTAGTGTCATTTTTATACCGACGTTTCGTGAACATTTCAGCTCGCTTCATCAGGGTTTCAAGAGCAATCTGATACTATCAAATAAGAAATGAATAAATCTCCTAAAAAAAGAAAAGCAAAAAGAACTATAAAAGTAGCTCGACAAAATCGTTAAACTTTAAAAATGGCTCATTACGCTTTCAATGCTAAATTTGCAATGGTTTATTTGATGGCTACTTATTCGATAATAATTTCCATAAGAATTAATGTACTATTTTTATCTCCGCAACCACAACGGCATGACTCGCTTTTCTTGCGTTAATCGAAAATTAACGATTTGGTTAATATGCCAGTTTAATTGAGCTCAAAACAGATTGCATACTTTCGCGATAGAAACTTTCGAACAACACACGTACAAGCACATGTGCAAACTGCTACGTGCTGAAAATGTATAGGTAATAGGAAGGTTGTATAGCGAGAGAAGAGAGAGCGTTGTCGTAAGAGCACATATAATACTTTTATTAAGATAGTTCCCAAGCAAACTCATTTTTCTGTGTAATTTCATAAAATTTTAACAGAATGTTAAAAAAGATGATTTACATTTAATTTCACAATTCCAAAGAAATTGACTGATTGAAACGAGATATTCATGATCAAAATAAGCGTTATTAACATACATTTTCTATACCAAATACATTCAAACAGCTTATTTTTGTTTTTAATTTCAAAACGGCTTTATGAATTCTTAAAAAAACAACTATATTATAGAAAGACATTTTACAAATATTTAGAAACAAAAGTATATTTTTTTACCGTTTTATTTAATAGTTATAGATTTTTAAATTTGTGCGGTAAAAGCGTAGTGAAATGAAGTGATAAAAGTCTGACAACGCACAATTTTTCTTTGTATTTTGTCAGTTGTCACTTTTATAATATTAGGTATTGGAATTAATTCGTAGTGTTTTACAAGAGATGGCGTAGGTAGTAGAGTATTTCATTATTACCTACAGTAATGTATTCATCGTGAAACAGCTCATTGAACGTCATTTGCTTTACATAATCTTTTTTTGAATCGTAAATAACAACACTTTATACTTTATTGAATATGTCAAAATTTGTGCCGAATAAAGTGTTTTTGCGGGGAGGCGTTTTTTGACGTGTGAACTGCTGCTTTAACGGGAGAAAAGAAAAGGTTTTTTACATCGAATTGTCACCAGTGATGAAAAATGGATCCATTACGACAATCCGAAGCGCAGAAAGTCATGGGTTAAGCCCGACTAACCATCAACATCAGTGGCAAAGCCGAATATCCATGGGTCTAAGCTCCTGCTCTGTATTTGGTGGGATCAGAAGGGTGTGATTTATTATGAACTGCTGAAACCGAATGAAACCATAACTGGGGATCGCTACCGATTACAATTGATGCGCTTGAGCCGTGCATTGAAAGAAAAACGGCCGGAATACTCCAAAAGACTCGACAAAGTCATTTTGCTGCACGACAATGCTCGTCCGCACGTCGCAAAACCGGTACAAACATACCTGGAAACACTTAAATGGGAAGTCCTATCCCACCCGCCGTATTCTCCAGATGTTGCTCCTTCTGATTACCATTTGTTTCGTTCGATGGCTCATAGCCTGTCTGAGCAGAAGTTCACTTCTTACAAAGATTGTCAAAAATGGATTCGTGGATTGGATCTAAAGACGAAGCGTTCTTCCGACACGGTATTCCCTGCCCGAAAGATGGTCAAAAGTAATAGAAAGCGATGGGCACTACTTTAATTAATGTATTTTTTTACTTTTATTTAAAATAAATAATTTTTTTTCATTAAAAAAACGCTACAAATTAATTCTAATTCCCAATAATATAACATTTATCACAAGCCACGTATAATGTTGAACTGTCCTAGATGTTTCTCACTTATAATTTTTTTCAAGAAAAAGCACTTTTTTGGTAACACTTTAGTATTTTTTCAAGTTCATGTAACTCAACAATACGTCGCAAAATATGTCGTCTAATAAGTTATTTGATTAACAAATTTTCTTTTATATTGCAACTGTTTTGGAGAAAAAGGCAGTTTTTATTGTATTTTGTTAATTATTAAATATCAAAATAAAATTCAATAGATCATCTAGTTATAAGTAACTTTATAAGCTATAAGCTGTCACAACTGAATACTTGCAACATTGCCATAATTACCATTCTGACTTGTTTAAATGTATGTGTACGAATCTGTATACATAGTATATTAGTATGTAAGTACAATCTCTGACAACAATTATATGCTATTCTAAGTTATCTTAAACTTTTTATATTGACGGGAGATTTTATTTTTGAATAGAACTGTTGCAAAGAAATTACCTTAATAATAAAATAAAATAAATAATAATTAATTATTTATTTTAATCTTTATTTTTTATTCTTTATTGTATTTTCTTATTCACTTATTTAGTGGTTGATGATGATCAAAACAATACATCGATCGAAACGTTCCACATACTAACCAATTGTTTTATTTATTTTCTTGCTTCCAACTGCAACCTGAGTGCCAGAAGGTCTACATATTTTATTTTATTTTAATTTTTGCTTTAATTTCGGCCGTCTTCTAATTTCTTAATAATAAAATTAACGCGAAGCAGGAGAATTTTAATATAATTGAAATAAAGAAAGAAAAAGAAAAAAAGATACGACTTATATATATTTTATATATACAGAAAAAAACACAAAAATAATTACAAGTAAACTCTATTTAAATTTAGAGATATTTAGATAAAAACGAAGAGTTTAAAGTTAAAGAAAGAGACTTGAAGAAAAGTTTTATCACAGATTCTTCAATTATAAAATGTTGTACTTAAGAATGTAAAAGACCTACAAACTTCAAGAATGTAAAAAACTACAAAACATCATCAATCGGTGTGAATGATGTTTAACAAAGGTCGAATATTGATCTTTATGTCAATAGAATTGTTGCAATCAAACCGAGCACGCTTATACCTTTCGTCCATATGCTGCAAAGCGGAGTAATTGATGAAATGCATTCCGGATTTATAGATGACTAAAAAAAGCAACACGGCAAATAAATTTAAAAATTGAACGTTTTTTCAGCTGCAAATTTTTTTGAGAGAAACGTTAGTTGTTTGATTTATTTTGCAATTCGTAATAAACATGTAAGTGTATTACTTATACGATATCAAGAGGCACGGTAGTGCCTCGCGCCAAGTTTCACGCGCAACGAAGTTGCGCTCGAACTGCGCGAGCACACCGTGCCTATTATACGCGAGATTCATGCAAAATAGAAGTGGGAAGATTTTCTCAAGGCAATATCTAAGTAACGA